TCTTGGATGGTCACATTTTCCCAATTGTAACTATGGTTAAATCTGTCCATATCTTAACTCCGGGTTAACTCCAAAGTTGTTTACGACCGTTTTTCACAGTTACGACCTTTGCAGCATCCCCATGGTCACGTGATCCAAATGCAGGTGCTTGGCAACTGGTTTCATATTTATGACGGTTGCAGTGTCCCGGAGTCACGTGATCCCCTTTGGCGACCTTCTGACTAGCAAAGTCAATGGGGAAGCCTGATTCACTTAACAAATCATGTTGCTAACTTAATATCTGCAGTGATTCACTTAAGAACTGTGGCAAGAAAGGTTGCAAAATGGGGCGAAACTCACTTAACAACAGAAAATTTGGACTCCATTGTGGTCGTACGTCAAGGATGACCTCCTTATCACCTACCTCCTGAAAATGTTTCATCCTTAAACTCATCACCCAGTAATGTAGGAACCCAACTCAAACTGTTAGAGCCATTTTTATTTTTATTTTAATAATCCATTTCCTTTTTCTATTGATCTTAGGTTTCCGAGTTGGTGAGCTCTTACAAACGAGAACATTTGACGGTTTGGGGCAGCGTCAGCCATGAGGTTGTGGAAAAGTGTCACAAGGAGGTAAATAGAGAATGATAACACCCTGTTGGTTTTACCCTCCCTTTTTTTTAATGTAGGTTGTACCTTTGAACATTCGCTAAGTGACCGGTTGTAAGTCAAAAGACTGCCTGTGTGTGTATCTAAGTACATTTTAATGGATGCTTCCTGTAGAGGCCTCAGATTAAAATTTTCATGTGCATGTACGAAAATTTGTGCAGGTTCATCTCCTAATTAGTTTAATGAAAAGAAGGACTAGGGGTGAACTAATAGCAGTGTTTCAATATTTGAGGGGCTACCTCAAAGAAGGGAGGTTCAACCTATTCTACAAAATATTTGAACAAGAAGCAGCGGATGGAAACTAATCAAGGAGAGAAGCAACCTAGAACTAAGGAAGAATTTTCTGACGGTGAGAACAATTAATCTGTGAACTACTTGCCATCAGAAGTTGTGGCTGCTCTAACACTGGAAATTTTTAAGAAGAGATTGGACAGCCATTTGTCTGAAATGATATAGGTTCTCCTGCTTGAGCAGGGGGTTGGACTAGAAGACCTCAAATGTCCCTTCCACCTATTCCATTATTCTGCTTTGGAGAATAAGTTCAGCTTAAGTCCTGAAAGATTTCTGTGTGTAGAAATGGCAGGACAAGAAGCAACGGATGGAAACTAATCAAGGAGAGAAGCAACCTAGAAATAAGGATAAATTTCCTGACATTGAGAACAATTAATCTATGGAACTGCTTTGCTCCAGAAGTAGTGTGCTCCAACATTGGAGACTTCTAAGAGATTGGCCAGCCATCTGTCTGGAATGATATAGGATTTCCTACCTGAGCAGGGGGCTGGACTAGAAGACCTCCAAGGTCCCTTCCAGCTCTATTCTGATTGATTGGTTGATTGATGATTTACTATCTTTAGAGAATTGTCTGGAATGTTATATAAGATTTCCTGCCTAAGCAGAGGGTCAGACTAGAAGACCTCCAAGTTCCCTTCCCACTCTTGTTATGCAGTTACGATTTTTTTTTGAGCGACGTTCCCTAAAATGAGAAGTCCGTGCAATAACAGGGTATATCGCATCATGAATTAACCTTTCTGTGGTGTCCCTGGATTTTTCTCCCCTCAGAACTGCCACATCCCCATCCTTTTCTGCTTGCGCCGTGTCCTCCTTCTCCTCGGTCTCTTCTACACTGGCCTTCTTCCTTTCTTTCCGATCATGGAGGACTTCCTGGAGATCCCCATGCCTTCCATCATTCTCAAGTAAGTGGCTGTTTGGGCGACATCCAGCTTAAGGTTGACTCAGCCTTCCGTGCTTCTGAGGTGGGTCAAATGAGGACCCAGATTGTTGGGGGCAAGAGGCTGGCTCTGTAAACTGCTTAGAGAGGGCTGCAAAGCACTGTGAAGTGGTATTGCTTGGGAAGGGAGGGAGGGAAAAGGAAGGAAGGAAGCCATGATGGCACAGTGATTAGAATGCAGCATTGCAGGATAACTCTGCCCACAGCCAGGAAGTTCGATCCTGACCGGCTCAAGGTTGACTCAGCCTTCCATCCTTCCGAGGTGGGTAAAACGAAGACCCAGATTGTTGGGGGCAAGAGGCTGACTCTGTAAACTGCTTAGAGAGGGCTGCAAAGCACTGTAAAGCGGTATATAAGTCTAAGTGCTATTGCTATTGCTAACTGGCATTCTAATGACATTCCTCAACATACCATTTACAAATATTTGAACGGTCACTAAACGTATGCTTAAAAGTCAAAGGATGACTTGTAAGTGTCACGTCTCTTCTCTCCATTTCAGGCTGAAAGAAGTAGAGAAGATTTCAAAGAGTGAGCGATTCACCATATGGCTTATTGACATGTAAGGTTCCCTTCTTTTCCCGAGCCCTCTGTTTTCATTCTTGCTATCTTTCTTCTCCCCTCCTCCATCATCTCCCCCCACCCATAATAAGTCTCCCCCACCATTGTGTTTCGGGGTAACCATCGTCTCTTTTCTAAGCAACGGGGGTCTGTGTTTTTATTGATTCCGCTTCCTTAAACTCATTGGTTACTATTTGGGGTTTGCAAACGAGGGTTTGCAAGTTTTCCCAAAGCCCAAAGCAGATATATATGCAGAGGAGGCTGCCTGTTGCATTTCTGCATGATTACAGATTTCCTTCTAAGTTAACCCACTTCCACTGGGCAGAGAAGAGAATAAGTCCTTCTGCTCACATGCATTTCTTTATTTTTATGTTTATCCTTTATTTATTTTACAAAGACCTCAGAGTGAAGAACATATCCAACACACATTCCTCCTCCTATTTCCCCCACAAATCATTGTGGGCCACAATGTGTGAGGTGAGTTGGGCTGAGAGAGACTGGCCCAAAGTCAATCAGACAGCTTTCATGCAAAGGTGTGACTAGAAGTCCCTGTCTCCTGGTGAGTGGCTGAAAGTCACCCAGCCGGCTTTCATGCCTAAGACTGGACTAGAATTCCCTGTCTCCTGGTGATTGTCTCAAAGTCACCTAGCTGGCTTTCATGCCTAAGACAGGACTAGAATTCCCTGTCTCCTGGTGAGTGGCCCAAAGTCACCCAGCCGGATTTCATGGCTAAAATGGAATTCATCCTCTCCTGCTTTCTAGCTTGTTGCTTTAACCACTAGACCAAACTGTCTCTCTGTTCTGCCCATAGTTGGAATCCTATCAGAGGTTAGCTCAATCTGTGACATGCCCAGAGTGTCTATTCCTGCACCCAAACCACGTTTATGATGAAAGATAGGCCAGGAGGAAACTGAGTTTCTTCAGGGTCTGTTAACAACTAATGGGCAAGACTTTCTCCACCTGAAACCCCATAACCCCTCCCTCGATAAAATTCCTCTGATTATATATATATTTATATTTATATTTATTTATTTATTTAAAAGTCTGTTCTTCATCATCTCGCATGAATCTGCGGACACCATGGTGCTGATAACAGTTATTTTAATGGGTGGAAGCGTCTGTGGAGGTCAAAAAAGTCAAGATGGCAGCTGGAGTTACGATGCCAGCAAAAAAGGAGCTGGAATTGGCTGAGAGCTGCCATCTTGTCTCTTTTGGATCCCAGGTGTATTATGGTAACATTTATAACCCATTAAAGTGTTATTTTTAAGGGAAAAGTTGGCCCGCAGTTTCTTTTTTATCAATCTGTATATGGAGGGAAAGGACAGTTGGGGGTTGAACATGAATTGATAATCTCCTTGCTATGTTTACAGATTACTAATGAGGAAAACCTTATTTGATCATCTTACTGCTCGAGGAATTCAGGTATAGTATTACATTTTTACAAAATATCTGTAAATATATCTCAACTCTATACTCGACGTGACTTGGGGCAAGTACAAGTCATTCTTGAGTTAGGACCATCGAGATAGTCCTCGACTTACAACCACAACTGAGCTCAAGTGAAACATTTGCTAAGCGGGTGCTGCCCCATTTCACAACTTCTCCTGTCTCAGTTGTTAAGTGTGTCAGGATTCCAGCAATTGCCCTAATTGAATCATGATTCTCGAGCCAAACTTCAAAAAATTTCAAAGTATTCATTAGAGGTGACATACTGGCACTGCCCTGTATGAAGCCAACTCTGGCATACGTCATTTACAGTCTCCTGTGACCCTGTTTCCCCCCTGGGTGTCTCATCAACCAGATTCTCCAATTGAGCACGTTCACAGGCTAGGTGTCATCAATCACATTCTCCAACTAAGGATTTCCCCGGGCCAAAGCTCTGGTATTTTAGTTACAGTCTTTTAAAGATAAGAGTTAGAATGTACTTTCTGTCAGGGTTCCGGCAGTTACTTCAATTAAATCATGAGCCTTGAGCCACACTCCCAAAACTAAAGAGGATTTATTTGAAGGTAACATTCTATCTCTGGCTCTAATCTGGGCGTAGCCACCTCTGAGATACGTAATTCACTGTCACTCTTTATCCTGCTTTTCCCCCCACCCCTCTGGGTGTATCACCCAACAAAAAAAACGTCCATAGCCAAGATGGACGTCATATCCATCAGTCATGCTCTCCAATTAGATTTTTTCGAGGCAGAAGCTTCAGCCATCTAATCAGTCTTTGAAGAAAACATGAATGGAATGTATTTTCGATTCCACACTGCTGCCTGCTCTTTGAAACTCCCCCCTCCCTTTCTGTTGTCAACTATAAAACGTGTATACAAAATGTTTTATGAGTTGACACTTTCACTTCCAAACTGCCGCACTGCTCTTCCAGATTCCCTTCCAACTACTAAAACAGGCATAGGAATGTTTTATGAGTTGACAAAGCGAATCACTGACGTCGTTAAGTCAGTCACATGGTTGTTAAGTGAATCTGGCTCCTCCATTGACTTTCTTGGTCAGAAGGTCGCAAGCGGGCGACTTACCGGTGGCCCTCGACTTAACAACAGTTCGTTTAGTGACCGACCGTTTGGCACTGAAAAAAATGTGACTTACAACCATTTCCCATACGTATAGCCGTTGCAGCCTCCCTGTGGTCCCCTGATCAAAATTCAGACTGTTGGCAATGGACTCACATTTATGACGGTTGCAGTGTCCCTGGGGGGGGGGGGCAGGGTCACGTGATCCCCTTTTGCGACCTTCTGACAAGCAAAGTGGGAAAGCCAGTTTCAAATTGGGCAACCAATTTAACAACTGCAGCGGTTCCCTTCACAAATGTGTCAAGAAAAGTTGTACAAATGGGACAAAACTCACTTAACAACAAATTTCTCACTTCACCAACATAAATACCGGGCTTAATTGTGGTTGTAAGTCGAGGACTACCTGTAGAGATCCTCCCTCGTTGAGGGCTTACCAAGGTAGAGCCAACCTCTGTTTTAAAGACTCCCAGCAATGGAGAACTGAGTATTTCATGTGGCGGGCTATTCCGCTGGCTGACAGCTTGTAAAATCAGGACGTTTTGCCTGATGCCCAGCCTAAAACTCCTTCCTTTCTGTGTAAACCCGCCAGTTCTGATTCCCTCCCTCTTGTTTACGTGATGCCAGAGGCCACTTTGTTCTTCTTCAAACAATCAAGGCCAAGTTGGGTGCAACTGTCATAAATATGAGCCAATTGCCTTAACAGAATAGAATAACAGAGTTGGAAGGGACCTTGGAGGTCTTCTAGTCCAACCCCATGCTTGGGTAGTAATACCCTAGATCATTTCAGGCAAATGGTTGTCCAATCACCACCTCCTCCTCCTCCTCCTCCTCCTCCTCCTGCCATAGCCATCCTTGGATATTGGCAATCAAGTTGGCGATCCTATTTTTATCAACAGCTGCACGAAAAAGTACTGCTGAGTTTTGTCCCAACCGGTCCCTTAGATCAGGGGCCACCAACCTTTCAGACATCAAGGACCACTACATTCATAATTTTAAATCCCACAGACCACTAATATGATTTTTTAAAAAAAAGATAAATAGTATTTAGTGTAATATAAAAGCGCAAATAATTTTTCTGCAGACCATCAAAATTTTCTCATGGACCACTGGTTGGTGACCACTGCCTTAGATGTTGAAGCCATGAGATTCTTCTTGTGCCTAGATCTCGTTGGCCTCCAATCATTCCCTGGAGGATTAGGTGAAGGATGGCCATTAAAAAGCGAAAGTTAGAATATTTTGGACATGTGACGCAATACCCGGAAAAAAATACGCCATACTTCACTTAATCCTAAAAATCTCTTCTTAAAAACCTCCAATGATGGAAGTTGATTCTGGTTCCTTCCCTCTTGTTTACATGACGCCAGAGGCCATTTTGTCCTTCAAACAACCAAGGCTGAGTTGGGTGCAAGTTGTCCTACTTTGTTTACTCTGCTGTGTTCGTAGCAAAGAGAAACTCCTTTGAGGTCTAGGAAGGATGGACAATCTGTCGCCCCTGAAACTAACTCTGGATTATCAGAGGTCGCTGGAAAACCAGTTTTATTTATGGGATCGATTGCCTCTCTCTGGTGGACAAAAGCCTTTGATTTTATGATCTTTTCTAGCCACAATTGTGAAGTGAATCATTGCGGTTGTTAACTTAGTAACGTGGTTGTTAAGTGAATCTGGCTTCCGTATTGATTTTGCTGGTTAGAAGGTCCCAATAGCTGTTCACAAGCATCCACAAGCATTATTCGTACCTATTTCCTGAATTCTTACTCATGTTTATACTTATACCTATTACCTTGTAAGCAATTGACAAATCAAATAAATAAAATAAATACATAAATAAACAAACTACCTCAATATCCGTGCTTCGCTACCAAACTGTGTGGTCGGGCTTAGTTTTTGGGAAGGAAAATAAAGGGAAAAAAATTCTGCCTCTACCTACCAGCATCCATCAGTATTCATCTGGCTAGCGTCCTGTCAGGGTGTGAGAGAGTTGAGGGCTGTTTGGAAACTGAAAGAGTATTTGCTTTGTGAGCAAGAGGGTGACAGCAAGGATCCTGGGTGTGGCTTAGCTCAACTGTTCTTGTACTAAAGCTGCTTGGTGCTGTGAAACTGAAACTCCTCTGCTTGTGTTCTGCATTTGGAAGAGATTTCTTTCCAGGTGGGGAGGGGGGAGTAGAACTCCTTAGCATCAGAGCGTGTTAATAATAATAATAATAGGAAATACTAATAGCTCTGATGGTCAATTTGAAAAATCCTTTCTTAGTGAGCCCCTAGAAGCCAAGAGGAACATAACATGCCAAATTTCAAGTTTGTAGGCTTTACGGTTCTGGAGATTTTGTGATGATGCGTGAGTGGTATTTCACGATAGATGGATGAATAGATAGATAGATAGATAGATAGATAGATAGATAGATAGATAGATAGATAGATAGATAGATAAATAGAAGACAGACACAGAGACAGACAGAAATGATAAGACAGAGAGAGAGAGAGAGAGAGAGATGGATAGATGATAGATAGATAGATGCAGATAGATATAGAGTAGTTAGATACAGTAAGATAGATGATAGATAGATAGATAGATAGATAGATAGATAGATAGATAGATAATACGTACACAACACATGTGAACTAAACCGGTTGTTCCCACAAGCAGTGAAATTTCCTCTGGGAAGGCAGTGAGGTTGAAACATCGGGTGTTTTTTTTGGGGGGGGGGGGGGGGGATTTCAAAGGAAGGTTAGATGATGCCCAGATGTTTCCTTCCAGGTCTACATCTGGGTGCTGAACGAAGACCAGGAATACAAGCGAGCCTTCGACCTGGGGGCCACCGGCGTGATGACCGACTACCCCACCAAGCTGAAGGAATTCCTCCACAACTATCCGGCATGAAGCCAGGCAGAGCTGCCCCCATTGTTTTTCGGAGGAGGGATCAGAAGAGAACCCAGCCGAACCCAAGGAGAGGATCCACCCTCCCCATGGAGTGGGTTTTTCTTTTTTTTACGGCCAACGTCCACCCGCCGTCGCACAATGACCTCGTTCTTAAAAAGTCACGCCACGGCCCTCAATGGCTGGGTTGACTCTCTCTCTCTCTCCCTCTCTCTCTCCTCCTTTGTAAATAGCTTGGTTTGAGTGGTCATCTCCTCACCTTAGAGACCTGGAAATCCCTTTTGGGGGGGAGACCACGTGAAAAGCTGAGGTTGGTGGTGGGACGTGACCTCTCGGGGCGTCCACCGGAGTTTTTCCAGCCGAGCCGTTAAAGTGTTGAAAGACGTTGCGATGACACCCCCTCGAACTTCTCTGTGAGTGGGAAAGCGACGAGCAACAGTCACCTGAGACGACCACTCTAAATAGGGGGTCTGTGGCCAGTAAAGTCCTCCTTGGATATATCGCAGGTGGCTTCCTGTGGAGAACAACTCTTGTTGTGTTTTTGTCGAATTAGTAGCTGTGCCTAGTGAGAGGGCAGGATCTTCCAAGCACTAATACATTATTAGACGTGGAGTGTCCAACCGTGGCAACTTTAAGACTGGTGGACTTCAATTCCCAGAATTCCCCAGCCAGCATGGCTGGCTGGGGAATTCTGGGATTTGAAGGCCACCGGTCTTAACAGTGGCCAAAACCGGACAGCCTTCCATTATTAGAGACTTCCTACATCCGTGTGCTTGTTCGAATCTCAAATCGAGAATGGTTATCCCTCAACCTTGGCTACTTGAAGTTAGG